TTCGGCCGTGAGGCGCTTGAACCTTTAGTAACGGCGAGTTTGATCTCCTCGCTGCTTGATATCATGCTGCCCGGGCTGGACGGCTTTGAAGTGCTGGAACGGATCCGGGAAAAAAGCGCCTGTCCGCCATCAAAGCCGCCGAGGAAGCCACAGCGGAGACCGTGGATGACGCTGAGCCTGAGGGGGTCGCAATTAAAGAAACGCTGGCGGTCCAGGAGCCTGAAGCATCCTCTGAAGTAGTTGAAGTAGTGCAAGGGACAAAAGAGACTGCAACAACTCATGAAGTTACAGAGTCGGAGGTGATAACAACGACTGAGACCAAAGAGACCAAGCAGGTTCAAGTGACGGAACAAGTAGAGACCGAAGAAGTGCTGGAAGTTGATGTAGTTCAGGAGCAAGTGACGGACGTACGCAGCGAGACGACGGAGGCTGTCCGCGAGGCCCCTGTCCGCTCCCCCAGCCTCGTAGAGATCACAGTGGAGCACCAGACATTCGCCGACGTGGTCTCGACAGCCCAGCACGTGCACTGGCTGTCAATGCCTGTGAGTGCCAACCCTGCTCTTGCGCGTCTTCACACGGTATTGAACGACCAAGACCCGCTCACTGCGTACGCTCTGTACCCTACCAGTCCGACATCTTCGGCGCACGCAGGAGAGGAAGAGGAGTTGCCGTTGCCGCATATTCCCACGTCCAAACCGCCATCGCCAACCAAGTGAAAAGGAAAAGCACCGCACCAAAAGACGTTGGCAAAAAGTTGCCATTACCAACACTCCCGTTTACCTTGTACCTTGATTGTTTCCGCAATATTCGCAATACAACTGTGTCCGGTATCTTAATGCTCATGTTGCAAACATGCAAATCCATAAGATTTCCCACTCACTTTGCAACCTTTCAAGATGCACCAAAGCTTCGCCTTCCTTGAGCCTTGGTGCGCGGTTCTTCGAGGTCGGTTGTCTACGGAAAGTCGGTCCTCTGAGAACGTATGGCTCTCCGTTCGGCCTCCGTTGTCACTGCTGGCGATTATCAACCGAGAAGCTGCTGAGATTCGACTGTTGCGAGAAGCGCTGGAGCTCCTGAGTCTCGTGGCAACTGTCGACATTGAAGCATGCAAATCTCTGCTACTGGAACGTTGCGGACTCAAAGTGGACGACCAATTCGATGAATATTACATTCTCAGGTTCATCTTTCGGTTTGACGCAAATCATTTACGCTACAGTGCAATGTTGCCGTCGGCAACTCTTCGCCAATTTTTTCTGACCAAGACGGAGGATCAAACCAGTGACTTCCAAGAGGCAATATCCGCCTTGCTAAGACTTCACAATAGACGTCAAGAGATTATTAAAATCTCATACACTGTGGAGTTCACGGACTTGTGGCATTTGGGGCAGTCGGTGCTGTCGGCACATTGGAGCGAGTTGCTGGCAACACTGAACGATATAAAAAAACACAACACACAACGAGTACTTGACAGGTACTTTACGTACGAACAAGAGTCCGTACAGTTGTGTCTTGGCACGATTCCAGTGTCACGTGAGCTCCCAATTGCGTCCTTAGCAATGCTGAAAATACCTGATTTGACCATTTCGGAGCTTCAACTGGCAATGCAACAAGAGTTGCCGATCAGATTCTTCCGTCCGGGTGAAATGCATAAGCAATTATTGGCGCAATATCATTGTAGCAAGTTATTTAACGCCATTTACTGTGGCCAAGGACCCATAATTCAGTCGCTTGTCATTCCGATGTTTGCAGTGGACGATCAAGTGTTTTCCGGGTTGTGTACGTCGCTGGTTGACGCTTTAAGAGTACACGAGTTGACGATCAATGGCGCGTTTCAGTCACTTACACCGACGCAACGTACGTGGCGCTGGCAGTTGCTTACCTACGCTCTGTTCAGTGACGCGTCTCGGTCGTCTATTAAAGAACTCAACCTGATTGGAGTCCAGTTGAGTCAACACGACGTTGATGCGATTGCTCAGGTGCTTGCAACAAACCTACCCGAGCCAGACCAACATTCTGAGGATAATAACGTCGAGATTGTTTACGTTCCGAAAGGTGCAAATGTGACCATCATTCAGTCAATTACCGGTCCTAAAAGCGTGGCAACACTGGAAACTTTTGGAAATGCGCGTGTTGCTGGAGATTGCCGACCGATACGCTGCTGCGTTTCGATGTCATCACCGGGAAATACTCAGCGTTGAGAGGGAAAAGCTGCCACTTCCATGTCGTTTGGCATTCCTTAGCGTTGTCCGAGGTTGCTACACACCAGTGAACGACACGTTCCTTCACCTGGACAGCCACGTCATTCAGCAGATCTTTGACTTTGCCGCTATCAATGTCAAACGCAGTTTGTCTTCCTGAGAAAAGCGAAGTTGCATTTTCAACCTATTTGATCCTGAACTATAACACTTATGTATACTTTTTTTAATGCCGTTCGAAGAGCGTGATCGCGAATTTTTTCTACCAATTTTGTCTATAACAACTACAGTAGACACATATTCACGAATTTTAGTGACAAATTGTGAGTATTTTTTGCGTCGAGCTCTTTATCCAATGTTCATGTAAATTATCACTCACCGTTGGCATCATACTTCGTTCAATCATTCCATCACAACTTCGTGTCAATTGCCACAGCGCGTACGTCATTTCGTAGTGGGTCGCCCACCCGCATGTTTGCCAGCAGCCGCCTTTTGCACCACTTCAAAAAATGCTGCCGTTCGCTTTATCATAGTCGCTGATGAAACGTGAAAACACCTCGGCGCATGGTCCAACCTCAGACGGGGTCATCTTCTGGATTTTTTTTTACGACCATGTCAAAGGTTTGTTTTTCACTTAGTCACACAGTATCCCACAAAACCTCAATTGCTTCACGAGATCGCCCTCCTTAGCCAAAGCGGCACTGATCAAGGCTTGCTTAGCAACGCCATCGCTTTAGCCTCCACCAGTGAAGGGCTCGCTTGCGGCTACAAAAAGTCAAATCATTGTCGTCATAGCGCTCATACTCCTGCAGCGATAGTTTGGCAATGAAGAACCGAAGTTTCTTCGTATCATCAAGGCATTTGCTTCTTTGAGAACGCGAAATCGCTCCCAATCGGCTCCTTTCAGAGATCTTATTCCAATAGTTTTTATACATTTCTGGGTGCATCCTTGCGACAACAGCAGCGCAAAATGTTCGTCATCCGGTTCCATTTTATTGATCACGTTGTGGAGCTCACCGCTCACCATCCTGTTGGGATAACGTTTGCGATAGCGGAACACCGGTGGCAAACAAATGGAGCATACCAACGCAAAGCGATACCTCCTCGTCACTCTTTCCAGAGCATGCTAGCATCCAAATAGTAGACGGCAAAGTGTGGGAGATAGGCTACAGAACCATTGGCCTTGCCGAAGTTGTGGTGGTGCTATAATATCAAGTTTCCGCTGTCATGTGCACTCGGTGGCCGAACTACCAGAGTCACAATCCCGTCCTCAGTGTCGGCATCCTGATGTTTGAGAAAGTGGCCCCCTCCACCACACACCAGTATTATTGATAATAGCTTGTCAAGTACGCAGGGATACGCCCGCATAACCGGTGCAATAATGCGCAATATTCTTCACCAGTTTACTATTGCCTACAGCCCATAACTAATTGTCCATGTTGTCACGTTGCCCGACAGTCTCACAGTACTTCAAATATCGCAACGAGTTATCTCTAAATTTTACAAATTATATCGGTACAATTCACTCCCATTTTCTTCTCTTCTGCACCGTTGTCACTTTCAGTCTGTATTTCTTTGCACCTTTCCCAGATGCAAATATCCTCCCCACTCTGTTGAGATTTCCTACCGATGGCTTTCAAACAAGATTTTAACGATGGCAAGTGGCCTTTCGGTGGCGAAGGCGGCTCGAATGATGTCCCTACACCAGCCGGGGCTGCGTGTGTCAAGATAAGTAAGATTCTGGCCTCGGCAGATGAGCACGCAGGCGAGTATTCGTTCGGTGGCGTAGCGGATGCGCTCCCAGTCATGCCTGGACTATTCATCAATGGTGTGGGGTTCATTCCTCTACCACTTGCCCCTGAACATGCAGAGAAGCTGATCGCTAAATGTGCTAAATCTCCTTTCGGACACAACTTGGACACGAAGATGGACGACAGTGTCCGGAAGAGTTGGCAGTTGCAACCTGATCAACTGGAGCTCAGAAATCCGTTGTGGCAAGGAGGAATTGAGAAGTTAACGGAGACGATCGCTGCTCGCTTGGGTTACAAGGGTGTTCCATTGAACTGCGTCCTCTACAAGCTGCTCGTGTATGGAGAAGGAGGTCACTTCCTGAAACATCAAGATACCGAAAAGGAGGACGGAATGATTGCGACATTGGTAGTCCAGCCACCAAGTACCCACGAAGGCGGAGATCTCGTAGTGTATCGAAACGGACAAGTGGAACACCGTCACGATTTCGGCAAAATCGACGGCACTGCAGCTTATTTACCACACTACGCCGTGCACTATTCGGATGCTGAACATGCTCTGGAGGACGTGACGAAGGGGTATCGCCTTGCTTTGGTGTACTCAATTTGCCTTCCATCGTCCTTGCAGAGCTTGAAACGAGACCCCAACGTGACCATGAGCGCTGAGCTCGCCAACGCGTTCAAAGAAATGGGACCGGAAGACGGATCATTCGCGTTGCTACTTTCACACGAGTATACTAAAAAGAGCATTGGGGAGTTGGGATCTGGAGCTCTAAAAGGTATTGACAGTGCACGATTCCGGGTTCTTGAAGAAGCGAATGAGTCTGTTCCAGCTGATAAGAAACTTCGGTTCTTAATTGTAAAAATCGCTATTCAAGTCGACAATCAACTAGATGAGGAAGGCTGGATGCGCTATGGCTACGAGCAAGCGCTGCACTGGTACTTGACTAGCGGAACAGATCTGGGACACTGGAAAAACGAAATTCTGTCCAAGAAACTCAATTTTCTGAATCCTAGTCACGAAACATTACTTCAATTTTGGAAGGCGTTTGGGAACACAGAAGACGTGTATACGGGTAATGAAGGGCCTATCAAAAGCACAAAATACGGAAGGTTTGCGATCATTGCATGGCCTGCTGTTCGCCATTTGGAGAACGTGGCGAACCTCATGTCTGCGGAGCTGGCTGTTGAAGAGTTAGCTTCACGTAGACCTGTCGATGCTACCGCGCTACATAATCTTCTTGACACAACCACTACCAAGTATGGCTGGGGAGAAGTGTCCACCTGGAGACGTGTTCCTAAGGCATCAGTCAGATTTTGCCGCACGTTTTGTGAGCTACTGGTTGATTCGAATGATCTCGAGTTGACGAAGTTGTTTCTCACCAATTTTTGCCCGAAACTCGGATTTTTGACTGGCAATTCAACGTTGATCCCAGTGATGATCAAACTCGCGCGTGTATTTGCGTGGGACGACGTTGGTGTTTTATTGCTAAACGTTTTGGGCAACAGAACGAACGAATACAACTATTTCGCAGACCCCGGTGAATCGGACATGGAAGTGTTGTTGCATGTAGCTGGAGGCATAGATGATGGCATCGCTAAGCTAAGTTTGATCGAGGCGGCAATAGCTAAAGATGACTATTTCTTGTCGTCAGTTGAAGCTGTTGACGTTTTGTGGAGTGTTGTCCGTTCTGGAGATAAACAATCGTTTGACTTGATTATAAGCAAAATTCAGAAACGGGACCCACGTGAGCTTGGACCATTTGTCGAGGTTTTTTCACGCCACCTAACTGATTATGATGAATCGACTGCGCAGCGTGGAGTACTCCAGGGGATTGCTGACAAGAGGATGCAATGGCTGAAAAGAGAGATTGAGAGACTGGAAAAGATTGACAAGGAGTTTTCGTGGAGAATGCCCTACGCTGAAGACCCCGACTATCCTAGTTTTGAAGACTTTCTGCGTGGTCCAGATCGATTCTGGATCATGAAAGGAGTACCAACATGGGATGGAGATGTACAAGAGTTTACTGGACCGCGCGAGGTGAAGAAGTACGCTAAGAGGTGTCTGTTTGAAGGTCAGTACGAGTCGTCGTATACAGCCGAAGCTAAGGCAGGTGAAACACTTTTTGTGACGATCACGAAGACGCGGAAGTGGTTCGAGGATTCCCAGGTGAAATTGGCTCAGTACCAAACCGAGTTGTCGCGCCTGAGCACAATCTACTGATTTATGAAATGATAGGGTGGCTTCAATTTTAGTCTAGCTCTTTAAGTTTTCTTTTAATAACTGCGAGAGTTAATTCAGGAGGACATTTGTGGAGATTAATAGCTTTCTTCATCCTTGCTCGTGTATTCTCTGGATTTTGTATCCAGAGTTTTAGGAGGCGAGTCATTTTGACCAAAAACTACTCTAACTTCTTATATTAAGTACCCAAACAAACGTTTTCGTCTCAAAACTTAAGAAAAAATACATCCCGCACTTGATACGACTCTTATATAAGATCTACATTTGATTGTCGTACCCAATTTAGTTGGTTTTATTCTCTAAACGTGCATAACCTGTCATTTCAGGTTGTATCTGGCACCGCACCTTTACTTTTAACAAATAGAAGGGTTAAGTATACCTGATATCCTCTGTGCCAGTGATGTCATCCAGGCGAATGTTTTTTGTGGCAGCCAAGTGCAACATCACTGTAAATTACGACCAATCGAAATGAGAACTTCAGCTAGCACTGCGCCAATATCCTTCTTGTGATCGCAGCGCGACTCGCACAGTGTAATCGCATATTTACTACGGTATACAGGACTGCAGAAGTAGTATAGAGTATTGTGCGTCAATAAGGGCGCATGGGAGCTAATATTTATGTACAGTTTGTACAGGACAAATTAAAAAGTGTTTTTTCTAGCACTTTGAGCATGTTAAGCTCCTTACTGACGCACAACACAACTGAATGGTCCTACACACAGTAGTGTAATCCAGAGCTTCTCCGTGAAACACGTCTTTGTTGAATATTTCTCGAACACTTTTTGCCCGTGAGCTAGTCAATACTTTGGCGATCACGTCCTATTACTGACGTCGCACCAACAGTGTTTAGCATAAGCTTTGACTTGTGTCCGAATGGACAGGGGATCCAGCGCGAGCAATACGCACCAAAGAAAAAGGCACATGGGTGGATAGTTTTCTGGCTGAGCGGACCAGAGTTCTTGATTTTGGTACAGCAACATGAAGAGTGGTTTTCTGATAAACAACACGGACGATGACAACCCCCGTAGACCCTGTACAGCAAAAACGTCCCTCTGCTTCATACAGGATTGTTCTGCTATTGAGTTACATTCTTTTTTAGTTCCATGTTAACCTGTAAATGGGAGGTCATAGTGGGGTGATGATGGCACTTTGAAAACGAGAGCACAGCCGTCTGTTCATGAGTGAAATAGTGGATCACGAGTACCTTACTACTTCGAGGATACCGCGCTAGAAATGCCTCCAATTCCAATACCTAGCGCAGCCAACATAAATACTATGGCTGTTCCGCCAAACAATATCTGCATAAAATCGAGGCCTTCGTCTGGGTGCTTTTCGACAAAAGATCGGACTTCGGCCTTCTGTCTCTTAGAAAGCTTGGTGGGGTCCGTGCCCTTAAGGGCCGATATTGCGCGCACACCAGCAGGGTCCTTGTCCACCAACTGCTTCGCTTTGCTGAAATCGGCCTTCTTTAGGGACGGCAGCTTCGCTTTGGCAACTTTCTTTGACACAGTCTTAATCTCGACTTTCTGCCCCGCAGAAATCTGGGTCTTGACCATATCGGTTTGTTTCCCCCTAAAAAGAGTTTTAACCCCCCCAACGCGAGAGCCTGTATTAGACACGTTTCCCGAAAATGCTTATCCTGTATTAGACACGATAAGGATTTCTGACGTCTTTTTTGTATGTGCGTTTACAAATTTTAAGTCAAAGGGGGGTAGGTTTTTTTGTTTTTATCACATGTATCTTCCACTCAGATCAACTGAGATCTGCAAGATCTTGATTTTCTAAAAATAAGAAGCCACAGGTAGAAGTGTGCGCCACACAATTATATCAACAATTGGAGGTGTATTTGCGCGCCACTTGTTTACCACTCATTCTAGAATCTCCCCCCGTTGGCAAACAATAGCCTTTCAAGTGCGCTGGCGAGAGCTGAGAAGAGAAGGATGGTCGTCAAAGAGACCCCAGGGCCTATCGGTGGACTTCACGTACATTATGCCTGGTCAAAGTACGAAGGGCGTCCGCGGGAAAGATTTCTTCGTGGGTGAAAAAGAGTTGATGGCCTTTTTGGATCAGCTGGATCTCGGTACGTATGATTATGCTTAGTGGGGATTTTTTAGTCTAACGACTTGTGTTTGCATAGCGGAGCTTCGACAGCAGAGCTCTAAAAGGCCTGTACCAAATCCACAAGTCAGTACTGCGTGTGATCCTCCAGCCCGGAGTCGAGGGGAGATTGAAACAGGTATGAATTGCTATCCTGTATTAGATGCAATATCAACTGATTGTATCGTGTATCATACAGCCGTCGCTACATCCAGCACCCCTGTACGAGATGCAACTGAGTACAACGACTCAGGACCGCCAGGTAGCCCAACTGAGTTACCAGATAAAGCGATTTGTACAAGTAATGAAGGTATGATGCTCTCGTGTATAATAAATGCTTTAGAAGTCTAATCTTATTGTGTCTTGTACAGGTTTAACGGCCCCTACCAGCTCGCAAGAGTGCAGTGTTGGTGGTGATGCTCTGATTGCAACATCAACCCACATCTCGCCTGCATCGGGTGAAGACGGTGGGCTACTATTTTGTTGATGTGAAACTGAGGTATACACTAATGCGTGTTTTGGTTTGTGCCTCAGAGATACCACTTGCTCAGCGAACCTTAGAGTATGACCTGTTTGGAGATGACGATAGCAGCGAAGAAGACGTTGTTGAGAGTGACGAAGAGGTCGTGTGTAACGGGCCCAGGTATTTACTCCGTTACTTGCTTACACTATAGTGTTGAGGAAGCTCGCAATAGGACGACTGAGTCTTAGGTTTAAGGAAAAATCAACTCTGACTTTATTTTAGGACCAAGGCCACACTCAAATACACGTCATAGTCCAATTGGCTAATAATGGGTCTGGCTCCCCATATATCAGCCAATGGCATGACAGCATTTCAGCACACGCTAGTCGTGTGCTGATGCACCTACTTTTGTAAAGAAATCTACCTACTTATGTAATGGAGGGGCCCATTACATCGTGAGTCTCGTGAATGAAGGTGGCGATGAGATAGAACCTCCATCGGAGGAAGTGACGAATGAACCTGATGCAGTACAGCCTCTTGCGATAGGTATTGTTATCCATACACTTTTGTATTTTACGTTACTTATTCATATCGTGTATTCTCGTTAGTAGACGACCCAAACCTTGTGCAGCCTGGTGAAAGACCTGAGGATTTTGCTGGCCTTGATTCGGATGACAACACTGAACATGGGTCTGTGTACGACGACGACGATGACTTGGGACCAGAGGAGCCTGACCCTGCTGAAGTTGAAGATACTGAGCCTCCAGTAGATATGCATTTTGATGAGTCACTTCTCGAAGCCGTTAATGGAGCTGACTCCAGAACAAATCAAGACGTGGCTCGAGAAGGTGGTTGATGTTTCGGGAAGAGAGGTTTGCATTTTTGTTGGTTTGCTTATCGCGCGGACAATTTGTCCGAACAAGGAAAAGTTTGAGAACCATTGGAAGACCACTGATGAAGGGGCCATTCCTAGGGGCTGTTTTGGCCAGTTCATGACCAGAGACCGCTTCGCTCACATATTTCGAAACCTACACTTCAGCAGCAATAGTGATCCGCGTGCCGCGTGTGATAGAGTGTGGAAATTGCGTCCTGTATCCGACACTCTGCAAGAAACGTTCCTGCGCAATTGGATTTTACCGGCAGTGATGGTATTCGATGAAGCTATGCTTCCGTCGCGCTCCACCTTCAATCGCATGCGAGTGTTCATGACGGATAAATCTCACAAATGGGGCACTAAACTCTTCATGCTGAGCTGCTCGAAAACAGCATATTGCATACGGTGAGTAAAAGCGAGCCTTCGGGCTCGCTTTTTTTTTTGGCTTCTAAGTTCTCTTATCGTGTCTAGTACATTTTAACTGACGCTGTGCAACATGTATGGTACAGTTTCGAGGTGTATTGCGGCAAACAGCAGCTGCAAGACACAAATACACCACCTGACACAAATTGCGGACCAGCAGCAGTCGTGCGAAATCTTCGCCATGTATTTGGACCTACTGGACCTCCAAAGTTTCGGTTGATTATCACCGACCGATTCGTCGTCCTTGCAATGCAGTTGCTGACCATGAAGTTCTACAGTATTGGTACTATTATGACCAACAAACAAGGTTTGTGCGAAGCTATTCTTCCACCAAAGAAGAAGAACGGGAAACGTGCTTCAAACAAGAGGCCACCACATATTGTGAAAGGGACATATCAAGTGGCTGAGTGTCTGAAGGTGCCCACGATCAAAGCGGTTCGTTGGTATGACAACCAAGGTGTCTTCTTTCTTGCAGCGGGAGGAAGCGCAGCTAAGGATCGTATTGTTTCGTCGCGATCAAGGCACCAGAGAGCTGGCGGAAATGAGGGCACCCAGACTGGTGAAAGACTATCAAATATACATGGGAGGTGTGGCACGTACACGACCAGCTACGTCTACAGAGGTAAATGTTGTTATTGAATATGTACGGGTTTAAC